TATTTATTTATTTTGGGGTACGTGGGCCTCTCACTGCTGTGGTCTCTCCCGTTGCGGAGCACAGGCTCTGGATGCGCAGGCTCAGCGGTCATGGCTCACGGGCCCAGCCGCTCCGCGGCATGTGGGATCTTCCCGGACTGGGGCACGAACCCGCGTCCCCTGCATCGGCAGGCAGACTCTCAACCACTGCGCCCGCCACCAGGGAAACCCTCATATTATTATTTTAACTAAATTATGTAGAGTACTAACTGTCAACAATGTTACAGATACTAAGCCTACTGCATGATACCTATATAGAAGGGTATGGTTCCTACCTTCCTTCAGTTTAGAGCCTATTGGAGAAGAAAGACATTTAACCAATGATGATACAAAAATGTAAATCTGAAATTGCAGTGAAAGACAAGATTGTAAAAGAATGCAGACCTAATTTGGACTTGGAAGTCAGGAATGATCTGCCTGAAAAAAATGACATTAGGCTGAGGCTCCAGGGGTGAGTAGGAAGGAATTAACCAGGTCAAGAGAATGAGAATAAGCATTCCAGGCAGACGGAGCAGCATATACAAAAACCCCGAGAAAGGAGAGTTACAGAGATAGGAAACTAGAGGCCTGCACCTTCTGAGCCAGTGGGGACCCTAGAGAAGTGGGCCTTATAGACCCAATTAAGTTTTGGATTTTATTAAAAGAATACTTGGGATTTCTGCAGTCATTTAAGAGATAGTAATATCACCAGATTTACATCTTTCAAAGAGAACTCTAACCTTATATTACAAATCAACTAAAGGAGTACAAAAACTAAAAGAAAACCAATTGGGGACTTGGCAATAGTTTCAATGAAAGAAAATTAAACTAGGGTGATAACAATGGAAATGGTAAAAAAGAAACAGCTTCAAGACACATATTGGAGAATAGACCAAACTCGGTAATGGGATAAATATAAGTAACCAAAAGAGAGGTAAATGGCAAAGGTGATAATCCGATTTGTGGGATATGCAGGAGGGTGGATGAAGATGGCATTCAGTGAGTTGAAGAAGACCAGATGAGAAACATGCTTGGGAGCGGGGCGGCTAGAGGTCACTCTTGATCAGGCTTATAAATCATTTTAAATAGACAGTTGGAGAGGTGAATCTGAAGCTCTGAAGAAAGCCTTAGAGAAATAAATTGGAAATCATCAGCATATAAGTGGTATTAAAAGCTGTGTGTGTGTGTGTGTGTGTGTGTGTGTGTGTGTGTGTGTAGATGAGAAAAAAAATGATGGCAATATTATATAAAGGCCCAGAGCTAGTTCTAAAGGAATTTAAGCATTTAATTTTGAGAGAAAATGAGATGCCAGCATATAGGAGTTAGAGAAAAAACAGCCAAAAAAGGTGAAAGGAAAAAACAGGAATATATAGTCACAGAAGCCAAGAAAAGAAAGTATTTCCTAAAGGTCATCATGGTCAATATTGCTGAATATCAAGTAGTAATGGAGTTTGTGGAGTTCATTGGACCACAAAAGCAATTTAAATGGAATAGAAGACACAAAAGCTGATTGATGAGTACATGAGATGGGTTGAAAGGATGAGAAATTAAAAAGATTAAATTAAAGGAAACATACACAGTTAGCTGTTTTGAGAAGCATGCCTGGAAAAGGGAGTAGAAAGAGTGGTAAATAAAAGATTGTGAATTAAAGATGGATGAGATCAGAGCACGTTTGAAGGCTATTGGGAAAAGTCCTTTAAAAAGGAAGATGATCAAAATTCAATGAAGAGGGAAGATGAATAAAAATATGAGCCAAGTTGTGTCACTCCTCTGATTAGAATAAAATATATATTCCTCAGCCTGCTTTAAAAAATCTTCCTTGAAGACTCCTAGTTAAATCTCCAGCCTCATCTCATGCCATTCTTCCCTTCTTTCTCTTCCTTAGGTATACAGTAAGAATTCTCCCAAGAATTCCAGGTTTAGAACCTTTGCACAGGCCGTATCCTCTTCCAGGAATTCTCTTCCCTCTGCAATTTGCCTAGCTCGTTCTTTTCCATCAAAGTTTCAGTTGAAATGTTCTTCCTGACCATCCACTGAATCCAAAACAATCTCCAAATTTTCATATGTCTGGTTCCTTCTTGTCATTCAAGCCTCAGTTTCAGTATCCTCAGTGAAACCCTTCTGATAACCTAATGTAAATTAGTAACCCCCCCCATTCCCTTGCCATCACCCTGTGAATTCTTAGCACAGCACTTCTTATGCCACATTTTATTGTTCATGTGCTTGTTTATATGTTAATGGTATGTCACTTCTCTCTAGAATGTAGACTATGAAAGCAGGGATCTCATCTTACTTGCTCAATGCCGTATTCCCAGAAAGTGTGATTGTGTTTGGCATATAGTAGGTGCTCAATAAAAGTTTGTTGATTGGTTGAGTGGTAAGTTTAATTTACAGGTCGGTCTTCTTAGAAAATATCTAGAAATTAAAAGGCACATAATGGAAATTTTAATCAAATTCAGTCTAAATATACAGGTAACATATTAGAGGATTGTAGTGAATAACACTATTATTTAAAAATATTCTAGAAGACTTATTTTTAATAGAAAATCTTAATGATTCTATACCTCTTATAATAATATTAACTCTAATTTTCATGCATCAGGTATATACAATCTAATAGCAAGAGAAAGTTTTCCAGAAGTACTTTGCTATTAAAAAGTAGCCAGCCTAATATAAACAATTTACTACGAGTAATCCATTTGGTAGATAAAACGTAAGTATGAAGCCAAGAGTATATTTACATTCAGCAAGCATTTATTAAGCCATGCACAATCCTAGGCATATCGGATTCAAAAATGAATAAAATGCAATAGACTGATCTCTAATAATTCAAATATGAGTAAGTGAATAAAGATATAAAAGTTAACAATACTGTGTCTTAAAAAGGCTATAATAGGGCTTCCCTGGTGGTGCAGTGGTTGAGAGTCCGCCTGCCAATGCAGGGGACACGGGTTCGTGCCCCGGTCTGGGAAGATCCCACATGCCGCGGAGCGGCCAGGCCCGTGAGCCACGGCCACTGAGCCTGCGCGTCCGGAGCCTGTGCTCTGCAACAGGAGAGGCCACAGCAGTGAGAGGCCCGCGTACCGCAAAAAAAAAAAAAAAAAAAAAAGGCTATAATAGAGTGTGAACAAAATAATGCGGGGCCAGTTTGTTTTACCACCTCTGGACCATGGAACCACACATTTGAATTTAGACACTATTCAAAAGTTTCCATTCCTCCTAGGGGCAAATGGTTAATAAGAAATTCAGTTACCTTGGATCTAACATCTTTCCCCAAATCAAGTGAAAGTCTTTTTCACAAAGAAGGGGGAAAGAGAAGGTTATTTTTCTGCCAGTGTTTCAATGGAGCAATTAAGCTTTGTCTGTAAGATGAAGAGGTTGCCATAAGAAAAGAAGCACAACAACAAAAAATACTGTGCTCAATGGTTGTGCAATGCCAGCTCATTATTTCTGGAAGGGGCTAAAGATTAGAAAATCACTCTTCTTGAGTTGTAATAGACCTGTAAAGCTGAGTAACTCAGAAAGTACTGAAAAGGAATACTGGGGAAAATAACAAAAATAAATAGCAATAGAAATCGTGGTAAGCTAAGCATGACCTTTGGAAAAAGAGGAAAATTTTGCATATCTAAGAAAATCTCATCACAGTCCTCTCTGTAAGATTAAAATGATTTCAGTATTTTTCCATTTATTTAATGCAAACAGGTATGGCTTGCTCTGACAAAACATCCCATTTCTTATTTAGGTATTATTATGCAATCAGAACATCAAGTTTATGTTGGTTGTTCAAAGTCATTCTTAAAAGACCAAGAATAAGAACTAAATATAATAATTAGAAACGTTTGCATGCCAGAGATCCTTTTCTTCTAAATATTTCTTTGGGCTTACAGTCTCTGTCAAAGGATTGGGAAGCACTGTTATAAATATGGCTCATTCAAACATTAATGAGGAAGCAAATCATTCAACTTTTAAAAATTGCAGCATCTATTTCGATGTCATTTATCAGCTGTTCGATGAAAGAATGAGGCAGAAGCAGGCAGAGAAGTATTTCTGAATCCTGAGTTTTCTGAATGAAAAAGAAGTATTCCTCTATGCATAATTTCTTATCTTGTTAATACAACAGAATACAGCTATCTTACCAATTAGTATAACATTTAGCACATAAAGTATTAATTTCCAAAATATTTTGAAATCTTTAAGAGAATAATATCTTAAAAATAATAGGTAAAAGCAATATAAATACAAATTTGTCAACATTAAGCTAGCGAGAAATATTTCTGTATCTTCCAAAAAAAACTTTGAGTCATTAAAGCAATGTTAATTCTTTTATCAATACTTTTTTTTGCCACAATAAACCAATGACTAAATACTAATGACTATGTACTAAAACATAACATAGAACATTGTGGCTGTGTTTTTGCTTTTCTCAGTGTGTATCTTTTAGAAAGCAAGAGGCTATTTAAAGAAAAGTATATTGTTTGAAAATATTTTATACTTGAAATAAAATGCTGTTTTACCAGAAGTTTCCAAAAGGAAAATAAAGAAAATTGTATTCTGCTTTTTTTTTTTTTTTTTTTTTTAACCACTATCAGTCTATTCTAACACATGCAAGTAGCAACTTTCAATTTCTGGCTCTATCTACGTTATGCTGCAAAGGACTTTTTCCTGTCCACCATTTCACCTTGAGCAGGGGTGCCTCATTTATAGATTGCTCTGGATTCAATCCATTTTGCTGCATTTTAAAGTAAAAAGAAAAAAATTGGTTAAAAATTGCTCCGTCTTGTTATGACTGGCCAGCTGTAATATACTTTTACAAATTTGAACCTGCAAAAGGTGGTGTGTTTTCAAGTTATTGCTTAAATTGTCTCAGGCTACAGGTCAAGGTCATATTATTCAATTTTCCTACGTTTATGATCTCGACACATTTTATATTTAATTTTTTGTGGAGAATGATTTGTCTTTACCCCGAGCTGTGTTTGTGCTAGGCCATAAAATCAGGTGATGACCCCGCAGAATCCGTGGGCACCTTAAAGAGACTACAGAAATTGGTTTGGACCAAGAAAGCCAGGGTGCCGAGTCTGAATGAGATGAAACCTACATCAATAAATCTCCGTAAGTAAGAGCTCAATGAGCTGATAAAAACGTTTTGAGGAAGAATTGGGGTAGCATATATTAATGAAGGACATTTTGATAAGGCCTTAAAGTCATCATTAAATGTTGAGTTTTTTGGGGTATTTTTTTGCCAAGTTATTTGTGAAACAAATATCCTTACACTGTTCCTGAATTTCATCCATGACATTCCCTTTCCCCTTTCCTTCAGAACCAGACTCAGAGGAAGAGTAAGAGAAAGCTATGGGTAAAGCTCAACAAGAAAATAAGGGTCAACATTGTCCACTGTTCCCATTCCTTGGCCATAGAAAACAGTATGATTCAGTTTTGATGTGAGTGCAGCTAATTGGCAGATCGTGACATGCAACTTTGATTTTCATTTATTTACAAGAATGAGCTATTAATCATAATCTTTTGTTTATACCAGCTAAGCATTTGAACTTAAATAGATTCGACCATATGGCACAATTTACTAAGGGTAATATATGTTTCTATTTTCTATAAATGTTTTATATACTAACAGAAATTTCATCAGACCCTACACTACATGCAAATATAGTGTAATCAACTTTACAGGACCAAAGATTGTACCTTTTCCTTTTGTTTTCTCAGTCTTGTTCTTACTTTTCCAAAATATTTCACCATGAGACATACCACATGAATAAATCTCTTTGCAGATTGATACTAAAATAGAGAATTTTAGGATACCAAAAGAATTTCCAAAAATCTCTACTGAGATTTCATTCTTTTAAGTAAGGCAAAGATTTGATGTGCTTCTTTATGATACTCTCTTCTACACATGACCTCAAACATTAAAAATATTTAAGAATAGAAACATACCATATCATGCTTATAACATGTGGAGAATTTTTTTTAATTTGTATTTTTTCTACAGTGTCTTTCAGTACACTATTTGCGTGTGGCTTCCAGTCATTCCAGTCAAACTGGCTTTAATCATTATATATGCCTTCAAAAAATTTTAGGTAAATCTGTTTTTACAAAACCAGTCACTTAATATATCAAAGATTTACCCTTTAAAGAAATGCTATTGTAGGGCTTCCCTGGTGGTGCAGTGGTTGAGTCCGCCTGCCGATGCAGGGGACACGGGTTTGTGCCCCGGTCTGGGAAGACCCCACAAGCCGCGGAGCGGCTGGGCCCGTGAGCCATGGCCGCTGAGCCTGCGCGCCCGGAGCCTGTGCTCCGCAATGGGAGAGGCCACAACAGTGAGAGGCCCGCATACAGCAAAAAAAAAAAAAAAAAAGAAATGCTATTGTAAAACTATTTTGTAAAATTATATGACTTCCTGGTTTAGCCTGTGATGGTCATTCATTTCTATTATATAAAGGGAATTATAATAGTCATAATTTCTACATGTGAAAAATTATCAGACCTCTTATTTTTCTTTACCATTCAGAAGATGAAGATGAAACATTGATTTCCTGTATGAAATTAGCCAAATCCCAAGAAAAGAGAGTTAATAATGTTAGTACAAGGAGGAAGGAAGAAATGGAGATTAGATTGGATTCTATTTCTGCATCACTGGTTAGACCCAGTACTTCAACTGGATGCAGCTTGGCCAAAATATTATCCCACAGTGGAGGTGAAGTTCAGATGTGGAAAAGCTGGAAGCCTTTCCCAGAAAACCCGCTGTGGACATATGTTGATTTCCAAATTGACCGGGTTGGACCCTGGGACAACTGTTTCCACTGCACTCACCACCCACATCTCAAGTCTTCTTGTACAGATATGGATCTCCCACACTCATGGGTAAGTTTGTAAACTACGGAAATGTATCATCTTATCTGGTTGTTTGTACTAGCTGGAAAGAAACAGATAACAAACGTACTATTCAGTCAAATTTATGAGTCTCTGGAAAGTTACCAGAGCTAGAGCTGTCTTTCCAAAAAGCAATGCAGCTCTTGTGACTTCTGCTATCATGTTACTATTAGACATGTTCCTTGTGTTTGAATAAACTACTGCATAATATTTTCCAGGGATTTCTTTTTAACTAAGGGAAGACAATGGATGTTGATTCAGATCAAGAAGATGTGCGTTGAATTATCTAAATTATTGCTGTTGCCTTGCAGTTTCACTGACAAATAATAGCTAATTTAAATGAGCATTTTCTTTGTGCATGCTATTCTTCTAAGCACTTCACATGTATCATTTCATTTAAATTTCACAACAACCCTATAATGTAGGAAGTGTTATTCTACTATTAATTCCTTCCTATTTTACAATTGAGAAAAATGAGGTACAAAAAAGTAACAATGTACAACGTCACAGATCTAATAAGAAATGGAGCCAAGATCTAGAAACTAGACTAGGGATCCTGATTTAAGCTAATACATTATAGTGTTTTCCATATACTAAGCTAGGTCATAAGGCTATATGGTGCAAGAGAAAGAGTATGGATTTGGAGTTAGACAAATCTGGGCTTGAATCCAACCTCTGCTATTTGTTTAGCTTGGGCAAATTATTGAACTTTTTAGTTTCAATTTTCTCAATAGTAAAATGGAAATAGTAATATTAAACTCATGAGGTAATTGACAAACTAAAATTAACTAACACAAATATTCTAAGATTTAAAAGTGTCTAATTTTTTTCAACTTGAACATAAGTTACTTATCTGCCTGGTATATTATTGTTTCCTTTAAAAACATTACCCTATCCCTTCAGACTCAGATCAAATGCTTTGTCCTCTAGAAAGCCTTCCTGGGTCATGCCAGACAGGAAGTTCCTTCCTTTGAACTTCTAGATCACTTAAGGGCATTATTCTTTCATTGTATAGGCATCAAATATATATTGGTGTCGCTGTGTGCCAGTACAATATTAGATTGGGGACGCAGAGCTAAACAATACATGCACTGCTCCTGTCTTCATGGAGTTTACCACACTCCACACTGTAGTGGGATGAGTTGGACGTTAGTTTATTTGCTATAAGTAATTCATCTTTGTATCCACCATAGTCTCTAGAATATTATAGGCACTCAATAAATATTTGAGTAAAATTTGCTGACTAAATGAATGGAGTTTTAGAAACCAATGGACTTTGTTACCATAGATCTAGATAAAACTTTTCTTCTCATTCTTCTAACTGTCCCTATATTAATGCAATCGTACATAAACTCAGTTATTATGTGTGTGTGAGTGTTTGTGAATGCGTGTATTGATTTTGGTATATATACATAGTAATGTTTTTCTTTTTTATTTAGGTAGTTTTGCCTATTTTAGTACATAGCTAAATGATTAAGTAAGGAGTTTTTATCTGCAGAAGGTCAAACATATCTGCAGAGTGCTCAGAATTTCAGATGATAGTGTTCAGCATTTGTGAACAGGAAAACCTCAGTGGATTTGGAGAGAAGGTTCAAGAACATGTTAGAGTTAAATTGGTTTGGTAAACTTAATGAGACCCCTTGCACTCAGGGACTTGAGACATAGAGTGAAAGAAGTTGGATGAGTGCAAATTATTATTTTTATATTCTACACATATATGCTATAATAATAGCAAGTAAAAAATCTAGTTTCATTTTAGCATAGCTGGTCTTTTTTTTTCTGTAGTAATTACAAGGCTATTATTTGGGTTATACTTTAACTGTCATTCTAGGCAAGATACAGAAGGCAGATAGTGTTGAGGGAAAAGTCTTCTCAAATGAGTGTTACTTACTATCAATGGCAGGTAGTCAGCAGTGACATTTTTGCAATTTTATAGGGTAAAAGTGTGACCAGATTTTTTTCTAAATGTACCTACACATACAGATACATTGGAGCTGGGCCTAAACCCCACATTTTTGGGGAAATAAAACCAATCCACGAATTAGTTTCTCGATGTCAGAAATTTCAGCAATAGTGGATTGCATTGTTTTTGATCCCATCATTAAATCAGAGTTTTGAGGTGGCCTGAAGGTGACTTGTCTTCCAGACAGTCCTTATTCACCCAGGTACACCTCCCTGCTAGCCCACTTCAGGCTCACACTCTCAAAGCTTGTTCTTATAGAGCTGGGTGTAATGCCAACGCCGACATCACTAGCAAAGTGAGATTGGGCAAACTCCTTACCCTCTTTAATGCACAAATTCCAATTCTGTATTGGTTTCAGACCCTACTCATCTCTTTTCCTCCAAGTGATTCTTTGCATACTGAAAATACCCATTTGTAAAACAAGGTTATCGAGGTCTGCTGTGCAAAGGCTGTTGGGAAGATTAAACGAAATCACGTCAGGACTCAGTTGATAGTAGGTAATATTTATACCTAAATCAAAGGGTCAAGAGGCTTGTACTGGGCTTGGAAAGGAGCAACATTTTACTCAGTTGAGATACCATAAACAAATTGAATCCAGACAGGGAAATGTATTATTTGTGAAGGACTCTTCACAGAAGTCAACAAGGGGAGAATGAGACACACATAGATGTTTAACATGCAGTTTAGTTGTGTATAAGGTCTATGGGATCTGAGGAGTGGGGAGAGATATGTGATTACAGACTTGATATAAATTGAGAAAGGCAAAAGATGAGATTTATGAAAGTGTAAATTCCACAAGAGAGATGTGAAAGGAAAAACTACTTAGGGATGTCGATCTTTTCTAACATCCAAGATGAGTGGTGTCGAGAATTTCAGATGCATCTTAAGAAAGGTAATAGTGGAGGTAACCAAAAATAATATTTGTAGCCAAGTGTTTACAATCAACTTACAAGGAGAGTGATTGAAGGGCATTTATGAAATCCTGCGTGCTGAGAATTTGAAACATCATAACAAAAAAGAAGAAAGTGAGCCACAGACTTAGTTGGGAATAAGGGCAAGAAAGAATAAATTTGTGTGTTGCAAAGGAGATGCGGTCTTCCTTTAAGGTAATATTAAAAGAGTAGCTAATATATTTTTCAAAATCTCGGATACTTTTTTCAGATTTATAAGAAGAATAAATAGTTTATCAGATTAAGAAATGGAAGTAATCTTGACATGAAAAAGGGGAATAAATATCCCTTTTTCCCTTCAAATGTCTAAAATGTTCCAGAATCTATTTTATAAAAATAGTGTGATATATTTAAAAATGATAGTAACAAAATCTCTTTCAGAAAGAAGGAAAGTCAAAGGCCTGAAAGAACAAAACAGAGACCCATGTACAGAAGAATTCAAATGCAGCATAGATAGAAAAATTATAATAATGAGAAACCAAATTACATAAAAGTCAAAGAAAAATGAGTGAAGTTTATATACCAAATCTCAAGGTGAGAAAATAAACAAAGCTCTACTTAAAGCATCTTAAAATGCATAAGAAGAGGATGATAAGAGTGGAGCTGAAAGGTCTTATTGGAGTATTATGTGAACCCATCAAAATTGCACCAAAAGAGAAAGTGTGGAGAATGGAAGATTTTTTTACAGAACTGTTTCAGTGAGAGGAACAGGATGTGTGCTAAAGTTAACCAAGAAATAAAGGAACAAAGATTTTACAGTTAACCTTTCCATTCAAATGGGAGTAGTGGATGTTCTAATTATTGACATAGAAAAATGTTCTTGGGTCCTACAGCCCCACTGCTAAGTGGTTTCAGAGTTTTAATACTGTCCCCCCAAAACTACTGATCTATGGGAGAGAGGTGACAAAACCAGGATAAGCTATTTGTGCCTATCTTCTACTTTGTCTTTCTATTCTCAACCTTGGCAATCTCTCCCAGTATCTCTGACCCTAGTCTAGTCTACTTCCTTCAATCAACATGACATATCATTACCAGATTAATTTACTTGACTAATCTACTTGATTAATGCTACCTGAATAATGATTCTGAAGCTCAGAATCATTAGTGTTACTAGTGCTACCGCTCCCCTTACAAACTTTTAAGCATCTCCCCAACATCGACAGGTTCAAAAGCAAACTCATTCACCTATTCTGCCTTCTAACTAGATTCTCACCAGTCTCTTTCACACACACACTCTGCTATAAGCACAGTGATACCATCCTTTTGCCAAACACAATGATTTGTTTCCCATCTTCATAGCTTTGTTTATACTGTTTTCTCATTTAGAACTTCCTTTCTTCTCTACCTGTTTGATGACTAGTATGGAAGGTTAAAAATACATATGGATGAGTAAGTATTCATGTGGTACACTTTGAAGAAAAAAATGTGTGAAAAGGAATGAGGATGAGAGGACCAGTAAAAAGAGAGTAAGGAGGCACGTGGTTTAGAAAAAATGCAAAATTAATTTCATAGGCTCTGTTATCATTTTCTTTGTACATTAGTGATGTTAGATTCCTGACAAAAGTCTCTGTGTCCCACTGATAGGCATATTTTTACTGGCCCAGTGAATAACACATACCAAGAAGACTGTTCCCATATCCACGCAGAGGAAGACAGGCTATGAACCATCAATGCCTGATTCCTCATAGTTTAACGCCCTTGTATGCAACTCTAACAGCAAAAGCTATTTGTTAGAACAGCTTTAAACTTGTATCTGCTTACCTTGGAATTACGGCGGTATGGAAAGAGAACAGGTTTTAATGAATGGATCTGGACAACCTGTGAAAAGGAAGGCAGAGTAAATGATAATCTGGACTGAGAAATGCAGAAGGAAAAATAGGAAAATGTGATAGAAAAATACCAAAAGATATTTATACTTATTACAATCTGCACGGAAATTAATTAACTTGAGAATCAAGATCCTAAAAATAATTTAAGGTCCTAAATGAACAAGAACAAATAATTAATTATGAGTATTTTACATGACAAATTTTTAATTATAGCCAATGGTATTTGATGGAAGGAAAATTAACATTTACCCAAGAGAAGAATTTGAAAAATGGGAGATGCTGCAACAGCTTATTCATTCATTCATTTATTCATTCATCCATTTATTCACTCATTAGCAAACTCACGTCAAGTGCCTCCTAAGCCACTTAGGCTATGAATATGTATGTGGGAGGAAGAATCTACCGTTTCATATTTATAATGAGAGTTTATGGGGTCTTATGAAAAAAGGTAAAAAGGAAAAACAAATAATCACAATCCTCAATATAAAAATTCACTAAGATGGGAAACATATTGTGATACTTGTATATAAAATAATCCTGGAGAAGATCTGGCCAGATGTGCAAACACATTTACATTAAAAAAGAGAAGTTGGGCTTCCCTGGTGGCGCAGGGGTTAAGAATCTGCCTGTCAGTGCAGGGGACATGGGTTTGAGCCCTGGTCCAGGAAGATCCCACACGCCACAGAGCAACTAAGCCCATTCACCACAACTACTGAGCCCGCGCGCCTAGAGCCCGTGCTCCGCAACAAAGAGTAGCCCCCACTCACTGCAACTAGAGAAAGCCCACGCACAGCAACAAAAACCCAACACAGCCAAAAATAAATAAAATAAATTAATTTTAAAAAATTAAAAATTTAAAAAAATAAAAAAAGAAGTTATGGAAGAAACATTTAAATTATGAGACCTTATAATAATGCAAGATATCAGATTTATGGAAATTATTTAGGTTGAGTTTGAGGAGAGTAATTTGGAAATGTTTATGAAATGTTTAAATGTATTTTTCTAATAAAATCTTGTATAATAAATATAAAGATAAAATGAGAAAATGTAATTGCTCTGTAAGTGTGAAGTCTTATTCTAGAAGTCCAGGATAACTAGAGATATTTTTAAATTAGACTTTTGAAGCAGGACAATGTAGAATGCAAACGAATCAAATTATTTGGGCTAATGTTTGGCTTTTCCCAGTTACACAAACCTCACGAATATAAGTGAAAATAACAGACCCGTGGTCTAGTTCTAAAACTGTTATAGAAACCAAGAATCCCTCTTTTTCATGAATTGCCCTAAGGGTTTTGTCCCACTTCTCTCTTTGTTTTGTTGTTGTTTTTTCTCTGTGCTTATTTACGCAAGTGCATCAAATTAAGGAGAAAGTTGAATTGGTACTCCCCAAAATAAAATCTTTCTAAAGTCTTCATAAAATATTTGTAATTTAGAATAGCTCTTGTGATAATGATATAGGACCCATGATAATCAATTAGAACTACATTTTGGCTTCTACAAGAAAGTTGAAATTTGCTTCTTTGGATTCTCAGATAGACAAAGGAGGACAATGAATGTCAATCTGAAGGGGACCCAGTTATGCTCATTGAACATGGGAGACCTCAAGTGCCTCCTTACTGAGAACCTAACTCTTTTGCGCGGTTCAGAAGAATAAAGCAAATCACTAATACTGGACATTGGCCTTTGGGAAGAGAGAGGCCTAAATGTTAGAACATTTTATATAATGAGCCTTGGAGAATGCCCCAAGTATTGGTAGAATTTCTTCTGTGGCAGAGAAGCAAGCTCAAAATTCAATTATTGCTAAGCAAGCTAAAGACAAAGTCATATTTTGAGTGTGCAGCATAGTGTGTCAGAAGCCATGTTACACATCAAAGGAGCACAGGTTGGAGCCAGGAGAGCCAGTTGTGAGCTCAACTCTGTCACTTACTGGGATCTCTCTGGGTCAGGATGCTTAATCTCCATGGCCTGCTACCTCCTCATCTTTAGAAAGAGGGAGAGCTATCAATGATATTTAAGACTCCTTTTTATCTTCAGTATTTGGGCTATGAGGGTACACCAAGGAAGATAAGGCCTATGTGCAGAAAGAGATTAGTACATAAAGATTTTCTTTCAGCTTTTTCAAAGTAGCTGTCTTCTCACTTTTCAGGTGCCCATTGTTGACCTGGTTTCTTTCTATTTTTTTTTTTTTTTTTTTACATAAGCTATTTTAGGTTTGGATTTTTATTTTCTATTCTTTTTCCTGACCAACTACATTTCCTCTGTCCTGGCTACTTCCTCATGTTCTGAACCAGCAACTATGTATGTGAATACAGACTTCACCTGGGATACAGCCAGATTCTCCTGACCATGAAAACTTCTTCATGAACCAAAATGTCTATATTTCCATTCTCAGGAACTAAGAAGGTTTCTGCCACTCAAGAAGAACTATTTTTTTAAATCCTTTTGAATGCCATCTCAGAGGACAAAACCTTGTTTTGACAAATGGGTGGGTGAAGTTTAAGTACAATTGTAGAGGGTGGCAGAAGAGCAGGGGCCGTGCAGTGTGAAGAGTGCTGGGCTGGAGTGAAACATCCTCTTCTGCCACCATCACCCATCTCTCTCTCTCGCTCCCTCTCTCTCTCTCTCTCTCTCTCTCTCTCTCTCTCACACACACACACACACACACACACACACTAGGTGGCACCTTTGAGATCTTGTCCTGATCATGCAGACATGTCGATAAAATGACGATCATAATCTCCATTGAGTTAGCAGTTGACTATATTTCAGGTGCTTTTATATATGCTATCTTTGTGTTATGATTCAGTTAGGTGGTATTATTATTCCCATTTTAATGGTAAAAGAGATTAAATAATTTATGTAATGTAACAGTAGGTTGCAGGACTAGATTTTAAACCCAAATCAGTAAGAGTCCGTTTTCCTGCAAAGAGCATGACTTTGTAACTTTCGAGATTAGGCTAGTAATGTATCTATACTTTCTCATCTGTGAAAAATGAAGACGTTAGTTCCCAACTTTCAGTATAAAATGAAATGATGCATTTGAAAGTGCCAATTCAAGATAGGGGCTTAATCACTTAATAAATAGAGTCCCTGCCTTTGAGATGCAGTATAACTTTTCCCACATTTCATTTTATACTGGCGCTGTGAACTAGGCAAAACATCACTGCCATCTTACAGATGGAGAAATTGAGGCGCATGAAGGTTAAGTGAATTACCTGAGGTCCCACAGCAGATGATGGCAGAGGTGGTACTGAACGTAAACCTCCTAACTCTCAGTCCAGACCTTTCCTATCACAAAGTTATCTTTAAATAGTTCAGCAGAAAGAAAAATAAACATGGTGGCAAAGAGGAGCTGTACATGGTGGAAACTAAGAGTAGTGGAGCCGAAGAAGCCTAGACTTGAACTGTAGCCTCACTGCTTACTGTCTGTGTGATTGCTAAGTTACTTGAATTCTTTGAGTTTCAGTTTCTTATCTATATAGGCATAATGAAGATTTCGTTGTGGAGTTCTTGTAAAAATTGGATGCAAAATGTTTAACTATACCTGACACACAGTTGGAACGTAACGAAGAAGAGCTACTATTTCTAGTGATGATTAGTACTATTTAATTACAAGTTTTAATTATGTGTTTATAATTATTTACCTTTCATGCAGTGAAAAACAGCATTATGTCTACGATACGTCAGGTATTTCTCTGGGCTGTGAGACCACAAAGATGCCACACCTGATGTCAGAGTCTCACCATCAATAATTCTCAGCAATTTTGTATCATATGAGATAATGTTGTAGTAAATGTACATTTACTAATTTTCACTAATTTTTAAAATGTATAAGTATAGTTTGCCCAATTTTCTCCCTATAGATAAGAAAGCCAGAACTGCCTAGTTTGGGTAGGGTGAGACCCCGCTTATAGCTTCTCGGAGGTGCCCTGGTGACCCCATGCTTGTGAATCTCTGAGACATGCAGACAAAAAGAAGGTGGGGTTCAGAGTACACGTACTGGGCTCCCCATTGCCCTTTTCTGACTTTCCAAATTATCACCGTATCAGCAGTGTCTTACATATGTAAAACAATTTTAGCTTTTTAAAACTCCTTTCATATATTTTGTCATAGCCATATCACATATGCAGGTCATGGCATTTTATTTTAGAGTCAGAAGATAACTCTCAGGCATAACACATCTTTTTCATAAGAGAATGAAAAATGAAGGAAAGAAATTCATGTCCCCTTGCCTTCCTATGAAATTGTAAAGCAACTGGTTGAATTCACCCTTAAAGCCCTTATGAATATTCAGTGTAAGATCTTTATGCATCTCATGGTTCCCAGCTATTAAACACAACCACACTGATGAATAATTAGATTAGAAATATGGCCTTTTTGCAGTTCACCTCAAGCCCAACCCAAATTGAAGCCCACATCTCACCCACTGAAAAGGATTTTTAGCCAGGGTGCAAAATGGATTAAAGTCAGGAACTCATTTATTTATTCACTCAACAATTTGTTTTGAAGTATTTGCATTGTTCCAGGTGAGGAAGATACAATGTTGAGCAGAACAAACACTGCCAGCCTCATAGTCCAATCAGAAACAAAAATAGAAATAACCACACAAATAAAAATGAAATGGTAACTTTGATGAGAGCTATGAGAGCCACATGGCTCTATGGAAGCCTATATAGGTAGATTTGATCCAGCTGAGGAGTCAGGATACACTTTCAGGGGTGATGATGATTGAGCTCAAATCTGATGTAAAAAGCACAGGAGTTAACTAGCCGAAAGGAGGGAGGATGAGAGTCAGCATGGCGGGGAGAGAGAGCAAGAAGATGTGGCACAGGTAAGTACAGATGCGGTACAAGAAAAGCAAGGAGATGAGGCACAAGGGAGGATCAGACCACTTACGGCCTCATAGGTTATGCTAAATTTTGTTGTTCATCTCCTAAAAACAAGGGGGAGCTATGCAAGAAGTGTTTTAAGCTAATGGCTTGTGTTTTTTGTTTGTTTGTTTCTTGTTTAGATGCTTTTTATTTTGAGAAGAGTGCTTTCCATACAGTGATGAAAACAGATTGGAAGAGAAAAATAGATGCAAGATGATGGTGACTTGAAAGGTAGTGGTAGAAAAAGAAGAAATGAATAGTTCTCAGGCTCGTAGACTTAGGTCCCCAGTATACACATTTCTCCAAAGGAAAGAAATGTCAGTTTTGAAAGCCATCTTTGGTCATGCAAACCAAAAAGCCCCTTTCACTTTAGGACATATGGTCACAGATGACGACAGAGAAGTGATACAATGACATGACTGTACATTCCAAATCTGTCCTTTCATTTTTAAAACTTAGAAGCTCATAGCCACCACAATGGCTTAACGGAATCATTACCAATGGATAAGGAAATTTCATCCATTTGCCCCCTCTGACTCCACTTGGACATAGGCCATGGTTTCTACAAAGAGTGGCTTGGAGCCATGCAAGGTTTCAAGGGAAATTGGCCTTTCAGAGGGGCATAGGAATAGATAATGCATATTGCCACCATAAAAATCTCTAATGAATATTAAGGGTGGCTTTCATTTGTGGTGATTGAAATGAACCCATAAATTCTCTCTCTAGGGTGTGGGAATTTTTTTCCTCCCTGTGGAGAGATTTAATGGATTTGTGGCATTCTGGATGATTTGGCAAGAAATCAGAGGTACCTACGCAGTCACCCACAAAGGGAACTTAGTTTCTTGCATGGGATAGTCACCACCACAAAACATTTTCTGTAAGAACCCAGAATGATTGATGCAACCCACCGTAAGTCATGACAAGGTGTCAATTGAAAAACTAGAAAAAGAAGTGGTTAAAGACACCACAGCAGCTTTGAAAACAAATTTGACTTTTAGAGAAGGGTTATTTCCTTTTGGAAAAAAGTTAGACCTGCCACCTGCAAGAAATTTAGATCAGTTGTTTGTGGTGAGGGCCATCATATTTTGAGGCCACTGAGACCTCCTACTGCTCTCTGTATGGAGTAGATTAAACTGTTCCCACACAGTGATAAATATATCACAAAGAGCCATAACAGGAATACAGTAAGTTGTAGCAGTTAATGGTACAATTTCCAGTTAAAACAATATTCTTAGGGTTTCGTTCGCCAGTCCCCATTTTATGTGTGCTATTTTTTGATAAGTTAATTTTTCAACATTTGCAGAATCAATATCTTTCAAAGCTTTATAAAGAGTGAAAAGAATTAGAGGAAAGAGTTCTGGGGATCTTTGCAAGCTGTGTGGGCCTGGGTTAGCAGAACACACTCTGAAAAGTGCAAAAATAATCTGTGAAAACAGCAGATAAAGATTCATATTAAAAATATCATCAGCTCTAAATTGTCTGTACACATGGAAAGAAAATGGGGAAATAACCCAAAGCAGCAATTACCCAAAAAGCATTCAGATTTTACGATGGAAAGTGGCAGAGGATCTCTATTCAGAGCAAATAACTTTTTAATGCTCTTTAATGCTAGACTTTCAATTATTGAAGTAAAAAGGTAATTTTATTCTGTTGGAGGAGTGTATTCCTTTGTGGAATAAATCTATGATCCTACTTTTTTATCCCATGAGTTAAGGCATTATGAAAGAAATTAACCCAAATGTCCTGCATTCTATTTATATGAAGGATTTATGACTGTAATTTAAGATACCAGATTCCTTTCTGACGTGGGATAACAAAGCTTGGTTCAGTGGGGAAATTTTTCTGAGCGTAGACTGGCTTCTCGATTAGGATTCCCTTGGATGGGAAACTTCTTCGTTGGTGAAGATTCTGAGTTGGAGGATAAGCCAGATGGTATAGGTTGCGATTTCTTCAGCTGTAAAACAAATAGGTAAGACTAGGTAACCACTAAGATCTCGTCCAGGATAAATATTCATGAATCAACTTTGTGAAGGAATAAATAGCAGTTGTGAATTATATTAAGCCATCATCTAGGGAATAGGACCTGATTCCCATGAAAATATTCCCAAACTCAGAGCCTTATATTTTAATATGTAAAATGGTGAACACCTTTTAATTTATTTTTATCCAGTTTTAAAATAAATAGGCAGGAGGAAATGTGTAGTGCTCTTCTAACTTGATGTCTTGCCATTGCATGCTTACTAGAACTCAATGCTGCTTGGATGTGAAAACTTGATATACTTCTATTTAGGAGTGGGACTTAGGGAACTCATTCTAGATGAGAATTAGAGGGTTTGGAAGCCTGAAGATTTGAAGGAGAGAAAAGACATTGAAAGAAAGAATCACAGTATGTCTGATGATTCCAAATAAAACAATCTGCCTTAAAATCTGGCTAGAGTATTATGTTTTAAAACTATTTCTCTGTGTGTGGTTTCATGAACCAACCACATCGGAATCACCTACGGTATTTGTTACCAAGGTCTGCCCACTCCAGATTACTGAATCAGAATTTCTAGGATGAACATTCTTTGACAAACTCTTCAGATGATATTTTTATGTTCACCAAAGTTTGAGAATCATCTCTGCATAGAAGAAAAGAATTCCCTGACTTTTCAATTTCACCTTCACCAATCCAGGAAGTCTTTTTGAGAAGCTCTCATATGTATATCACTTTCAGAAGTTATTTAATCTCATAAACACGACAATCCCAAAAAGTAGATAATTCAATTTTCCAAATGAGGTAATAGGCCTCGGAAGGTTGAGGAAGTTGCCCAAGCCCTGTTACAGGGCCAAGCTGGGATTTTAAAGTCTTCCAAGTCCCATACCTATAAGATAGTCGAGTCACTTTAGGGATCTCACACTGAGAACACAGCAAAGGAATGCACTGGGCAGCCGTTGGGAATTCTCAGTACTAAAGACTCCTGTGATCAGCCTATATGGAAGTGTACAGAGCCCTTAGTGGGTGCCACTGATATTTCCCCAGAAATAGTTTTGTGCTTTCCAAACTGATTTGGTTGAAACTCCTATCAGAGAGTGTTTGGGACTTTTGGTAAATCACAGAGTAGAAAAACCCCTGGACAGAGGGTATAACAAATGACCGGCCAATTATGTATCTTCCAGATTTTACAAAATGCTTTTGAATATAAATAGCTCTTATGATAATACTTATTTTTTTAAGTCACCTTCTAAATAGAATCTGATTTTCTTAACTGGGTCATTGTTGTTTTCTTTTGAGCTTAATATCCAAGCTGGGTAAAAACCATTCACCTTACTCATTGGTGAAACTTTCCCCAATTTATGGGTGACTTTCATTTTTTATGCTCCCATTTCTCAACTGTCTCTTCTGCCAACTCCTTAATACAGATGTCTTAGTGGATTGCCTTCCTATTGTTCTAGTGGCATGGAACTCTCTGCCAACATTCCTCTATGACCTAAGGCCCTTAACACAGTGTTCTACCCGATCGCTGGGGAACAAAAATCATTCCCTCTGTCAGAGAGTCAAAGAAAATGTCCAATTTTGCTAATTACAGAGCCCATTTACTTTAGTAAGAGTTTCCAATATCATTTGGTCATGATCATTAAATCCTGAGATGTTTGAACCAAGTTGATAGGTTTGAATGGGATCTTGAGGTGGTATGTGTGTGTGTATGTGTGTATGTGTGTGTGTGTGTGTGTGTTTCTTTGCATCATATAACACTAACATAACTCAAAAAGAAATATGTGAAAAAGGTTTCATTTGATTCTCCATAGCCAACCTTCCTCTGCCTTTATCTTTATTCCAAACCAACTTTTAAGTGGCATTATATGGTGGTAGCCATATATAACGCAATATGTATTTTTTCTTAATGTTCCTTTAAACGTCAGAATAGGTTTGGGAAATAAAAATCATTGGTGTGAAATGGTAACAAAGCTGATACTTTTGAAACATTTGTGTTAAAAGGCTTTTTGAAATTGAATGCTTAGGTTCTGTAATGTGCTTTTCCTGACATGTAACCCTTGGATATCCTTATTCACCGCAATTAGTAAATTTGATGCCTGTATTTATTATGCATTAATTCAGTTCAGATGGAAGTGGGAAAGAGTCTCCCTTGAATAAAATACAGCTGAATTTAAATTCAGCCAAAGGAACCACAGCCCAAATGTGGTTACTGCCAAAGAGTTGTCAAGCAACATTCTGGTCTTTGTATCCAGGCAAATTGTTAGAAGAGTGAGCTTATGTCTTTACCAGTAACAGAACTAACTAGAAATTCAGTCTGCGTGTATGGAATTGGAAGTGAATAAACTGTGATATGTCCCTGTTCTTTCCACTGTCTAGATTTCTGCCCTCTCTCCACCCCACTGGCAAATGTACATTAGCTTGCCTTTTAAAGCAAAACCTATCAATCTCCAACATTTAGTAAACGCTAGCATCCACAGAATATTTTTGCATTTTTCGTATGGCTAGCATTGTACTCACCATGATGTTTAGAAGTTTATGCAACACAGTATAAGGGGAAGGCCATTAGACTTTAAAGGAAGAAATCCTGAGTTTAAATTTGGAATCCATGGCATACACAGTCACATTACTGTCTGAGTCCCAGTTGTTTCTTCGGTGTAGCGGGAAAAATATAGCCTTTCTCCCAGACTTATCATTAAGATGGTGAGAGATGTTTTATGTAAAGGTGCTTAGCTCCCTGCCTGGCATATTGATGGTGACCAAGAACCCCAGGAACCAAAGTTAAAAGGAAACAAATACATTTTTAGAAAGTTGTATCTCAAGACCAGGGTGGTAATTATAGATGCAGGTGTAAATGAAGAATTTTGTTGAGTTCATTGACCTACTTTTGAACTTTACTACTGACTCTCAACTTTTCAGTATTGCTCCCAGAGTAAATGTTAACTTTATCAACAGAGGATGAATCGTTGAAATATTTTCAGTACATTTTCCAGGACTTATATATGGTATACAGAAATCAAAATGTGTTTTCTTCTCAGCTTTACGCGTTCTGTGGTGTGTCCCTTTTGTTTTTCTCCCTATCACCTCCGCTCAATTTCAGTTACCTCCTCAGTCCTTTTTCCATTCTTTCAAAGCCTGCATGCTGTCTGGTAAGTATGTGTTTGCTACAACTTCTCCTACTGGGTTGATTTTGAGTTACCCTTCTCTGCCCTCAATTTCCTTCTCTGACTGCTCCTGAAATATACTCCTTTGGGATCTTAGGAGGAAGTGACAGTGTAGGGAGGCCTTGGAAAAGAACTACAAAATAGAGAGTGAGAAAAGGGACTAGAGCAGAAGAAGGGGAGGTGGCCCATTCTCTAGCTACAAAACCAAGGTTTATATGTACAGCTGACTGCTAAAGAAATGAGTGGGGTTGCTTTTGGCTTGCTGTGTTCTTCCTTAATTTGTTTGTGAGTTTTATTCTACATGAAAGGTTTGGCTGTGTAGTATAGTGAAGTCAGCCCTGAGATCAATTCTTGGCCATTTGTTACGTTTCTGACTTTAGGTGAGGTAGCTGTTTTGTGCCTCAGTTTCTTCTTTGTAAAATAGGAGATAATAACACTTTATACGTTGTTAAGAGGATTGAGATGTAATGCTCTACAGCAGCGTTATCAATAAATGTTTGTTCATTTTCCTCTTCCAAAAATCTATCTTCTTCTTGTCTCATTCTATACTTTAATAACAAACTAGACTGAATATATGAGTATGCAAAATGTTGGCTTTTAAACTCTAAACTGTATCCATATAACTCTTCTTTCAAGTCAATATTTTGGAGGCATCCAAGTTTCTCTCTTAGATGATCTGATCTGAAATCAATTGCATGGGTTCAGAACTAGTCATCTTCTTCTTTCTAAAGTGCAAATAATATATGCAAAGTGGCAATTTTTAAAATGAAGATAATTTCCAATGCTAGGCAACACAGTAGGAAGTAAAATATGGTGTTTGGAAGAAGGAATGAAAAAAATGAATGAATGCCAGTGGGTATGTATACTTAACTCAGCCTCCCATGTAGACATAGGGCATTTTGGGTTTACTTTTTGTTAGCACTCTGAATTGTGCCTGTATTACTTGTTCAGTCTTTTCCTATTTAGGTAGTTTTTCTACCGCTATGGGTGCTGATACATGTGTCAATCACAGAGAGACAAGGCACTCCTCTATCAATATCCATGTTCACAACTGCTCCCAAATATTTTATATCTGTTCTTTCCTGTTTTGCAGGGTAAGAAACTGTCATACAATACCACTTAAGGCCTCCAACCTCTCTAAAATGTCATTTTGTAGGAACAACTAATTGAAAACCCCTGTTGTTTGTGTACCCATGGCTTAATAAGTGGGGAGGAAGGTCACATGACAATAGTTCCGCACTACATTTTCATGACAAATGACAAATGAAGAGGCCAGTGCTGTCCTTAGATCCAGTACTGCCCTTAGCTGTTTCCTTAAATCAACATTCTTCTTCTCTCTCAGCCTTAACTTTCCCAAGTGAATTTTATGATTTTGCATATGTGTCCAAGACATCTGAATATTAACTTGTGTTCACAAGTTTTTCATGTTTATTTAGTCTTAATAATCTCACTGATTTTTAAATGTATTGTACTCTGTGCTTCAGGTTTTTAAAAACGGAAGTGACATTAAATTGCTTCTTCAATATAATACAATTAGAAACATAATTTACATTTTGGGTTATGTCATATAATTAATATTTTTGTAACATTGTCAGTTATGGTATTCAGTAAATGAGATGAAAGATATATGGAGATGTGTTTTATATTCATTAACTTATTTACTCATATATGCAAGTATGACATGTTGTGTCTCAGGAGGTTGAAAACACCTAAAGAGTATGTAGCCTTAGAAGTGTAAGTGTCATAGGTTTGAATGCCACCTACTTCAATTGGAGAAAAGTCATTTTCTTGCATCAAAGCTGCCAATTATC